AGAGGGGACAGGCGTAACTATATGCACTTGATGTCAGCGTTTTCTGGCCAGTTGAATACAGATGGTTTGCGCATGATCCGGCTGGGAATAATATCGGGGTCATTTGCCACCGAACTGAGCGGATTCTGCATTTTGTAGGTTTGCGTCCTGCCTCAATGTACAGTATGTGGCAGAATATATCTGCGCACCAAGAAGTATGCACTGATATACCAAAACATATTATCAATTGATAGAATAGAGCGCGATAGAATACTTTTCGTCTCCCACTGTACATCTGCATGTAGCCCGTCCACTGCAAACACTTGGGTGCTTATCAGCCGTGTACGCTCAACTATCGTGGATTTCCGGAATTGGGTGCACAGCAGCCTCCCAGTCTGGATAGTATTTGACTCTGTTGGCACTGGGCATGACTTTCACAGTGTTGTTGTACCGACGAGAAGCATTATCCACAGTTGTCTCTTTGAGTCTCCAAATCGTTAGCCCTATTGAGAGAATGCTGGATAATGATATGAACTGGGCATAAAGTGATAGTGAGCTTCCTGTGGCTTTCGTACGTGGAAAGAAATGAAGGTAGGCCGTATTCTATGTTATTTGTTACAGGCACTGTTCGTAGGCGCAGAAAATGCACCTAGTGTTCGGTTGCGTGCTGCGATATGCGCCGTTGCACCCAGTCAACTTTGAGATGATGGGTAGCAACAATTGAACCTCTGTTACTGCGCTGCCAGCAATGCTTCGAGTGACCAACATTTACATGGTCACGTAGCCTCGGCGGGGGATCCTTGCCATGAAAACATGATAGCCCTGAAACTAAAGGCTCATCTTTCTTTGCATGGTTACATTTTCTGCTTTGGGCTTTCAAGCCGTCTTGGAGGGCCATTGTTGTAGCTTTGCTTGTAGACTGCGGAAAGATAGAGGGCCAAGATATGGAGGCTTGAACGACTGTAACGTTAAATCTGACAGCGACGCGAGACACAAGCCTCAAGCCCGCTGCACGGTTGCCCAGAACAGTCAGGTGGCTTTCTTTGCCCCAAACCAGCGCTGAGTTGCCGAGCGTCGACTGGGTCTTGGCGGTACGGACCAGTTGACTTACTCAAATTGACATCAATTGATTCAATGTCGTTTGTTTGGGGCCCCGTGGAGGTGTGGGAGCCCCCCAGTGGCGCTTGCTTGCGCATTCAGCAGCCCCACCATGGGCGAGACTCGACCTGGCAGAAAGTGAGCGCAAATTGCCGTTGGGAGCATGAGACGGATTGGTTGCCATCTCAACGCGGTTGGTGACCAAATGACGAGCATCATGACATTTTGGACCAGGCTTGCTTCTTTTCGAATCATGGCTTGAGACCAGGCGAGCGCCATTTCTACACGTTTGGCAGCTAGCCAGATGGTCCCGACAATGATTGTGTTGCCGAGGCTTGCAGAGGCTTGAGCAGGGCTCGGACAGATGAAGAACCGACAATATTGAACTGCATGCAACATTCAAGCGGAGCCAGCCACGGAGAAGTTTTCGATGGCTGTTCTACTCGGTGCTCGTGGCTGCTGTTACCGTACCCAACGACCTCTGTGCCCGGACTCAGTATACTCGCAGGGCCCGACGAGGCGTACAGTACGGGGAGTATGGCTGGTGAGATTCCACTTTCCCAACGTCGTTCGGCGTGTCCTGCTGCCATCTTACGGCACTCGCTCCAGGTGGCGTGGCAAAACTCGTGATGGTCTTGGCTGTGTTGTTGTTTGTAACTTACGGGGGAGGATCCATTTCCCTTGGCATGGTCCCATCCTGCCCCGGACCCAGTTGCTTCTGACGGCCAAAGGGACTGGATGGAATGAATGGATGGACGGTTGGGGCCGTTGTTGGCTTGCCCCTCGGGTTCGTGTTATATGGCTGGTAGTGTCTGGTAGTATCACACAATGCCAGGTCCCCGCGCTCCTTCCTCTTGGCCAATGCTTTACGGGGTAGTTATTCCATACTCGGTCTCCGTTTGATTTATTCCATTGATTCATTTATTTATCAAGACCAGCCCCCCAACCCCCGACCCCCGCAAAGGTCTCGCGCCTATTCACAGCAGCTTCGTTTGGCATTCACTGCAGGTCTACGACGGTTCTGGGGCAAATCTGATCTGATCTCATCTGGTCTGCGGCGTGGGGCTTGCTGAAGCTTTCTCCAAGCTTCGTTTTTACCTCCCTGTGCTTATCCTCCCGTTTGCACATCAACTGCCGCTTGACAGCCTCACCAACCCGACAAACCCCGTCACCAGCTCGCCATGGTCAATCTCGCCACTCTCCAGTTCGGCGGCTTCCGCTGTAAGTAGATGACGACGGGAACTTGTCCGGGCATTCGTCAAGCATCCAACTCTGTGGACATGCGACAGCTTCGCGCGGGACCGTGGTAGACAAGAGGGCCACGTTCTTGGCTAACGTTGAATGACGCGCAGACAACTCGCCATGGACCCAAGTGTCCATTGTAGGCTTCGTGGCCTTTTGCTCCGTCGGCATGTTTAGTGCGATTAGCAACCTGGGTGCCGGTGGAACGCAAGATGTCCAACTCAGCGACATTGCCAACAGTGTCTTGTACGGCATGTTCTTCCTGGGTGGTTTCTTTGGCGGAAGTATCAACGTACGTGAGCCTGAAATTCTTTCATCATGTCAACCAAGCCTCCTGGCGGCTCATTTGCTAACATGACTCACGTAGAATATTCTCGGACCCCGATTGACCATGTCCATTGGTACTACAGGCTACGCTTTGTATCTCGGCTCGCTGTGGTGCTTCCAACTCAACGGCACGCGATGGTTTCTCATCCTTGCCGGAGGCATACTGGGCGTCTCGGCCGCTCTCTTCTGGGCAGCCCAGGGGGCCATCATGATGTCGTACCCTCTCGAAAAGGACAAGGGGCGCGCCTTTACCATCTTCTGGTCGCTCTTCCAAATGGGAACTCTAATTGGCGCCGCCATCGCCCTTGGAATCGAATTCAACAGCACCATGCCCGGTGTTTCCAATGGTGTCTATGTCGCCTTTATGATCATCATGTTGACTGCCATCGCCACCAGCTGGCTGGTCCTGCCCCCTCAGGCCGTTGTCCGAGGTGACGGGACCATTGTGCGCATCGCAGCCTCTCTCACGCCCAAGCAGGAATTTCTCGAGTTTGTCCGCATGTTCAAGGACTGGCGCATGATTGCCCTCTTCCCCATGTTCTTCTCTTCCAACTACTTCTACGCATACCAGGGGGCTATTACCGCTTTTCTGTTTAATGGCCGCACACGTGCCCTGGTTGCCCTCCTGACCGGTCTCGGATCCATCATTGGCTCCATTATTATCGGCCTTGTCACCGACAACCTGCCCTTCAACCGACGAAAGCGAGCTCTCTGGTCTTGTGCCTTTGTCACATTGTTGATCTGCCTTGTATGGGCTTCCGGCGTGGCTTTCCAAACCAGATTTGTTCGAAAGCAGGCATTTGTTGACGACGAAAAGATTCCTTGGGATTGGACCGTGGGCGTGGCTGCCGGTCCCATTGTTTTGCTGTTTGGCTGTAAGATGTTACCCATGACAGAAGTACAAGTTTGGTTGACTGACTGCGACGCCAGATTATGTCGTCGATGCTGCCTACCAAGGCTTGGCATACTACACCATGTCGTCCATCAGTAACGATCCCTTCAAGCTTGCTCGCATGGCTGGATATTACAAGGGCATTCAGTCTGCCGGCGCCGCCGTCTCGTTTGGCATGGACGCCGTCCTGGTATGCACGCGGGTTCTTATCCCGTCAGAGTTGTCAAGTGCTGACATGCGTTTGCAGACCCCATATCTTGGCGAAGTTCTCATCTCGTGGCTCCTGACCATGGTTGCGCTCCCGCTCTGCGCATTGGTTCTCTACCATGTGCCTGACAGCAACTACGACATTGAGGGGGTTGCTCACATTGAGGATGTTGACGCCAAGGACGCGCAAGGAATTTCTGCGCCGCCGGACCACCAGCGCAAGGAAAGTGTTGGTGCATGAGGCGCTACTTTGTCGACATGTATAAGTGCAATACGGAATAATGAGCGGCTTGGGTTTCGCAAGGCGTTAGGGATACTTTGTCGTTGGAATAAAACACCAGCATACACAATAGAGATGCATTCGCTAGGCATTCCACAGCTCTCGGTAAACTTGGAATCAATCTATTGGGGTAGTCATCTGGACCTTTCCCTCGAAGCGTTTCAACTAGAAGTTGAAATTACGTGTCATCTCTTTGAACGGTGACTAAACTAAATCTTGCACGGAATCCAAACCGGCTACAGCTTCACAAACACTCCGTACAGAGAGCGGTTTGAGCGTCTGGTATAAACGGCGAGACATGCCTCCAGCTACTAACCATCAGGGAAAATGGAGCCGTAGTCGATATCCACCAGCTGGTAAATTCCAGCGCTGCACAGTAACCACAAGCCCTTCGGCAGGGATGCGAATGACATTTAGTAGCGAGCAGAAAGAGGCATGGACCGCTGGAACTTGTGCATTTCACATCTGGCCTGCTGACATAAAGATGACGGTTGATTGTCTCTTCCGTGTCCCGCTCAACCATAGAGTAGTCACAAAGCAAAGCAAGCAGACTATCGCCTACGCTGTTGCAGTAGAGTGGGCCGAGAAATGCACAGACGGTCGTTGCATACGCCTGGTTTCGGTCGCCTGAGCCGTTCACGGGGCTTGACTTGAGTACCCTGAAGATATCGGGCTGCGTTCTGCGTCATTTTCATGTCTTTGATTTAAAAAAAAATAAAAAAAAAATCTAGAATATATATTCTCCAAGGGAAAAACAGAAACGAAGACTGGCTCGTCTTGGCTCAGAAAGATAAATGGTACATATGTTGGTCTATTATATCATACAGCATCTACATTTGACCGTTTAAATATACCCAACACCGCCGCCGTGGTCCCAAATCACTCAGCCGTTCCGCATAGCCGTCATACAGATGGCCATTATAGCATTTCAATAAGAGTTGCAAAGCGTTTTCTCAGATATTCCCCGTCGTCACACTAGGCACCAATGTTGTTGCCAGTCAGGAAGAAATCCAAGTCGGCTCCCCCGCCATGAAAGCGTTGCTCATCTTCTGCAAGCTGTTCCAATAGGCTGAGAAAGGGGTCCTTTTCCTCGCTGTGTCCAGTCCCGGTGCTTCCACCAGAACTCTTCGTTCCGGGACTCGGTGCCACGCCACTGGTGGGAATATTCATCTTGTTGCGCTGCTGACCATCTTCAACCTGCCAGCCAGCGTGGCTGCTGAATGTGTTCGTCGGTAGCGCTCCAAACATAGGATCGAAACCTGTATTGCCATCGTTCACATTGTTCTGACTATTCATGACATTGGAACCCATTGCATAACCGTACGCTGGGCTGAATCTTGTCCCGCCCATAGGCACCATGCCCTGGCCAGAATTGTTTGCTGAGTTATCTGGCGGCATAGTATACCCATGGATGGTTTGCCCTGCCTCGAATGGAGTGCCACTCGATTTTATGTGTGCATCTGGTGGCCTGGACACTTGTTGCTGCATGTGCCCAGTAGAAACATGGGACGGGGGTTGTGTCATACGTATCGAGTATGGCACATTGCCTGCTCCCGTCGGTTGGCCCAAGGATGCAACCTGGTCATACCCGGTGTTGGTTCTTTCGTCATCCCCTTTCTTGGTTGATGGAGTCTTTTTACGTTTATGACTATATCGTTCAGTTTCGCGGGCTACCGGTGACTCGGTGCATTGATCGGCGGGATAATCTATGACAATATCCGACATGCTTAGGTGTGCTGGGTCGAATCGATACGATTTTCCTCCTGGGCCCCCAATGTTGGAATATCTGTCAAAAAAATCCTCAAGGTGGAACCCTAGAGTATATTGCACAGAGCTGGCTACCATAGCCTTGACCAGCTCTCCATGGGCACTGTAAATCGCTTGCAATGTATCGCTCTGGTGTTGAATATTGGCCCATGAGAGGTGGAGATCGCTGAGTTGTTTCATTTCCCGCGAAAACAAGTTCGACGATGCACTAAACACGTTCACGTCTCCCGCGTAGTCACTGGGGTTGGAGTAGTGAGCCCCATGGATATGCACTGTTGCGGCAGTACAAATACAATAGCCAGCAATTGCTGGCCATTCCACAGTACCTGCATGCCTCGCTGCGTCTATCAGTTCACCAATGGCGTTTGCATGCAAAAAGCACATGTTGGTCGCCTCAATCTGCCATGACTGGTGTTGCCCACTGCCAGCCAGCTCTGCTAGGTCGATTGGGAGGAACGGTCTGTACACTAGACAATGTATCAGATGATATATCAGCTTGCTCAAAAACACTATTGTCGCTTCTGTTTGGTGAAAGAGTGCTTGAGGGCCGGAGAGCACAGGGCCAGCGCCGGATGCCCAAAAGTCAAGCTCTTGACGAATTTTTGACAGAGTCGATAATGAATGCCAGGGGAAGTGAGAGTCGCCTTTTACACCCCCAGCAGCTAAATATCTGTTGGTAATGCCAAGGATACGCGTGACGTCAATGAGCATTGCGGTACTACCTTGTGACTTCTTTCCGCTGCCTTGGTAATATTGGAGGTTGGCGCCCTGTTGAAAAAACTCCCCGTCGACTGCCAGGGATGACTGGCTAGGACACCACGATGGTAGCCGCAGAGCCACCGAGTTGTCGCTGATTAAAGATGGTCGTTTCGATCCGCAGGACGTGTAGCGATCCAATAAGTAGCACGTCCAGAAAAGTCGCCGGCGTAACTCACGTTCGACTGGTGTAACGTGCGCGTGGGCATCGATTTCACGATGAAGCTCCAGTGCCATGGCCATCCCGATTGCCGATGCTAGGTTCACATCAGTCAAGTCCGCTAGTTTCAGCAAAAAAAGAATTGAAAGACCAACACATCAACATGTAGGCCTTCTTGCTGTGGCCAGACGCCATGAATGCCAGAACCAAGAGCAGTAACGCCTGCAAGCAATCTATTGATAGATCATCTGTGTCAATGCATCGCCTTGCCCGCTGTGCATAGTCTTCGCTCAATTGAAGAGCTGCCTGGGTCCCTCCGGGATGCGGTGTGTGTCTGCACCAGCAGTCAGCCACGAAGATTTCAAGATCGCCCTCTCCAGTTCTCTAGCCACTTGCCTTGATGCTACTGACCAGATAGCGAACGCGACGCTATCCGGCAACTGGTTGAACTGTATCCGACGGCGGACGGATGCTTCATCCAGGATGTAATATGGCTTGCCGTGGAATCGTGCGAAGTAGGTGTGAAGATAGGCGTCCCTTTCCACAGGAGAGGCAGGATTGTCACTATGAGAATATAAGCTCAAAGTATTCGGATAGCAACGACAATTCATGTCTCACCTAGCGGTCGGTTCATGGTCTGTGACTGTCTTGAGACCATCTCCTTCAGAAGATTTGCTTGCCTCGGTTGCAAGTCTCTTCGGGGCCGGCTCCGCAACGTCAGTATGCTCCTCTTCCTCAGCTTCCACGGTTACAGATTCCCCAACTTTGGGCGTTTCTCCCTCGGTATTCTTCTCCTTCAGCTTCGCCTCCAGTCCATCGACCCGTTTCAGCAAAGCTTCAAGCACGTCTGTTTTCGGCCCACGCTTCTTGGGGACAGCATCTGTGGCGGAAAGAGTAAGCAAACTTGTTCAAGATGCACTTTTAGTGGTCCGCTCTTGGGCCAGAAGTTATCAAGAAAATTGGCGGCTTTCAATGAGACGAGCGGTGACATACCATAAATGCATGGACATTGGAAGACTTGGCATGCTTCGCACGACGGTCGCATACGGTTGCATTTGATCTGGTGACACCGAAGTCAACAAACATTGGTCATTAGCATGGATTCGTCAGGGCCAGACGTCGATTTTGAACCGTGAAGTGTAAGGGAAAAAAAAAATATCGCACCTTTCGCTTCCGGCAGGACTTGCAGTTCATCGACTCGCGTGGCTCGTTGCTTTGTCGCTTTGTTGGAAGACGCTCAATACTAACCTGCTGTCTGGGGATAGCAATACGAGCACCAGAATAAGCCGCCGGCAGCGGGAGTGACGAATTCATTGCATCGCACAAGAAGGCAGCAAATATGGCCGCCTCGTGTATCGGCTGTCGTAGTGGTGTTGATTGTCTCGTGGGTCGAGCGCTCTGGATCGATGGCGAACAAATGTAGCCAGGCTTGGGCGCGTGAGCGGCGTCGGACTGATAAGGCGACACCGGTTTACTTGAGGGATTGCGCTGTGCAGGAATACGCTGCACCTGGCAGTGAAGAGGAAGATTTGCGCGCTCAACTGAGGTCGATGGTTTCTGCGGCTAGTCACCCCTCAAGTGCAACGGGGACGGTCAAGGCCAATCTGACCTTGGAGCAACATCAGCGCAATCGGCGCCGCGGAGGATAATATGGGGTCACAGTGGCCGCGGTGGCCAAATTGGAGTTACGATGCTAGTCGAACATATATGTTGTGTTTGTTGTACAGGAAAAGCCCAGCAGACCGGTGACGAGGCCCAGTGTGGGATTGGAAAGGATGCCCTGCCTCGATCCGGCGCTGGCGCCAGTCGTGTCACAGTTGAGAAGGCTCACGATGCCCGTCAGCCCTGATTGTCCTGTCCGGCAGATAGCGACAAGATGTGGCATCGGACGAGCCGACTGACTGTATTTGACTGTTCGTTTTGTTCTCCAGCAGACTAACAAGCAACCAAGGTACCCAAGAAAGGTGGAGGTGAAGACGGGGGGGTGCGGGACAGGGTTCAATGTGCGAATGTTGGGGTTCTAGGCCAAGAGGCCGGTTTAGCGCGTAAGACGCGGAGCTTGGAGTACTAGTTACTACACTCAAATATAATACATGTAGGGAGAGTCAAGAATTCGAGAAGACCAGCCCTTCCATCCGTACAATACTTCACAATTCCAATGCTGCATGCCCGTCAACAGCCGTGACGCCGGTACTTGCTTTTCCAAAATTAAAGTGATTACTGCCGACCATCAGTCAGCTATCAAGGTTCCTAAGTAAGTCCTTAAACGAAGCACTGTCTCGGCCGCCGCTGTATCTAATCCAGGTACCTGGGAACTCAAGTACCTAAAGCGTGCACCTGGAGGTAACTACCTCCAATTCTCCATCTCCCAACTCTCTTTTCAACCTAGTCGCAGCGTGAGAAGAGAGAAGGAGGAAGGAGCCACAAGGCCATTCCCTCTTTCTGGGTTTGCACGCACTCGACTTCTAAGATGGCATCGGGAAGGGAGGTGCCATGCCGGATGCCTCTGACACTGAAAGCTCTGTCCCCTCTCATGGTCAGCAAATTGATGACACGAACAAATACATTCGAATCAGACATGACCATTATCCACACACCACAACCCGCGGCTGTGACCGTCTGTGACCCAAAAACGACGCTCTTAGATCCCCCAAACGGAAGCCGACCTATTGCACCGAGACAGGACCATCTGCATCCTTCAGTGCGATCCAATGGCTCCCCTCAAGACTCGGCCTAGTACGGAGTACCAACACTTGCGTCTTCCACGTGCGATGCCTGTTGATCTTTTCCTTAGGATGCCCTGACCAGGGCCTCCACAGATCCCATCCGTCTAGTGGTTTTTGGTCGCATCAGGTGCAAGGAGATCATCGTTGATCTTGCTGGTGTCTTGCGTACAACTCCTACTGGGCAATGTCAGAACGGACACAGTCGGCACGGGCAAACTCATAGCACCAACACTTGCAGAGATTCAACCTCTGCTCTTGTCCGAACTAGCCTGCCACGGCTGCGAGACAGCCACTAGATCAAGTCGAGCGGTAGCTAGCTGGGGCTTTTACGGCAGATCAAACTAGTGCATGGGGGGATATCGGCCACAAATTGGTGGGGGTCTCGTTGACTGAAGGAAGAGTCCCAGCCAGTGAGTGAAATGAGACCATGAACAACGCTTCCACATGGGCTTTTATCCAATGGTCTTGCAAAACACCGAGTCTGGGCTCCTTGTCACCAAAGGGAAAGTCCTAATAAGCATCAGCAAAGCCGCATTTAATCATGGACGGCATCTTGTTGCATCAAAAGTTGCATCAAAAAGTTGCGTCTTGTAAGCTGCTGACGCAGCAATTTCGTCGAGTGAGAATGAGATTCTGTCTTGCCTCGCAGCACGAAGATGCACATGGCCAGAAAAAGGAGCTTGCCTACGGAGCCGCCTCCCACCAGCCAGGCAAAAACGACACACATAAGCCCTGCTGACAGAGTGGCAACTGCTGCATGTCCCAGCGTCAGTGGACCTTGGCTGTCCCACAGCGACGGGATACTACAAAGTTCAAAGACAACCACTCCACCGAAACCAGGAATTTCAGACACATCTTACCATGACCCCACCTATATCTGCGAATGAATTACTATTCAGACATGTATCACGCTCAGCTCTGTGGGCTTGCTGAAGAATCATCAGACGCGAGACGCAACTGCAAGGGCCACATGCGGGCCCAGCAGCAGGTAGCATTGGAAGTCAGCGTGGGCAAGAAAAAATATGAAGGATAGGTCAACGTTTGTCCAAGGGCCTACCGAGTCCTCTACCGGGATTGGTGGCAGTCCTTCTTTCTCGCCCTGACCCTAATCTCCAATCCCCTGCTCCGTACTCTGTATTCTGTGACCATTCGCGGCGACCTGGTGGCAGCCACTGACTTACCGGGCCGTCGGTCAGCTGAAGGGGGGCGGTAGCATTGTTGAACTGCCAAGAAGACTCAAGTGAATAGCAGCTGAATTTGGCAAAAGGTCCTTCTTTCATCAGTGGACTCCAACACTCGAGGGTCGGAATTGGTCACTGGCAGATCGATTACTTACTACCTTAATCACCTGCCTCCTAAATTGGCATCCAGAATCCATCTCTGCAAGGGGCGCTGGTTTGTAATAAACTGTCAGGCTCATTCTCTTGCCCATCCTAGAAACGTTGTATAATTGACCTGGTTTTGAAGGGGTCATAGGCATATTCCCCAAACTCCGCAGAGCTTGAAGCACATTGCATACCTAGGAAGTTTTTCTTTTTTACCCACCGCAGGAGATAGAATTGGCCAACATTGAACCTGGTGGAATACAGGCTTCGTACTCAAGCATATGGAAATAGTATTCACCTCGTAATCTTTCATCTCATTTATATCCTTTCATGTAATTCAATTACACCATCTCCAATACTGTAAACCCGCCTCCTTTAGAAGAAAACCCTCCAAAATAGTTCACATCTCCGGATGACCAAAGACAAAAATCCCGCCACCCTCCCCCGTTCCGCTGGGAACTGCCGGACAGAAGCGCCCTCCGTGAACATGGTCCCTGTCCCGTTGCGACTCCCCTGTTGTCTGGTAGTCGGTCCGTAAAACTCCGCTTTTGTCAGATCTTGAAAGGTGCACCCGAATAACACGCTAGCCAAGATGACAAGCACAAGCAAGGAGGCAAGCGGTTCTCGAAGGAACCAAACTGTATGGTTTCGCCCCCAATAAGCAAAATGCACCAAAATAGCAATCCAACCCGAGGACCATATAAAGGGGCGCACAGGTAAGGCTGTAGATCGGTGTACACCCCTCGAGACTCGGCATCTCAGGCATCTATTGGTCCTGGTTCTTTTTTCTAGGTCGACGTTCTTTGCATCCTTGTCTTGATATAGTAAGCCAATATAGAGCTCACGGCGTCCACAACTCGCCACTGACTATTCTATGCCACATAGGGGTGTGTGTGTGTTCGCGTGTGTGTGTGTCAGCAAGAACCCTACAGGAATTCATCGACTGAAGAGTGTGTCAAATCATCCTCTCATACGGTCCTCTCATACGAAAACATCGTTGCAGACTTAAGGCCACGTGCCGGCTGATATTCTTGGCTTTTGGTCAAACCCTATGGGCCTCCAGTAATGAGAATGTTGAAACAGACTTTCAAAAGGGATAATGTCTGCCACTCGCCAGTCTCACAAAGCTATATGGCACATTTTGACCGACGAGCAATCTTAAACTTTCGACAATGGTGAATGCCGCCACATCTGCAGCACCATAAGACGCAAATCCGCTCTTTTCTGCCGTCTCGTGAGGGTCGATTGTCGTGCGAGCTGCCACATCGGCCAGGTTCAGAAAGACCTTATTGACGTTTGGCGCACCTTCTCGGCCAGCAGCTGCAAACGCACGAAGCATCATGCTCACGAGATTTCCCTTGTCCGAGCCAAGAGCTGAGACAATTACAAACGGGGCCCGGTCGTCTGCCACGGATCTCGCACGCTGAAGACTCTCCAAACTAATGAACTGCTCAATCGGAGGAGCATGACGAGCGAGGGCAGTAGGGGCCCGGAAGCCAACGGTGTAGATCTTGGCAATCTTCAAGGCTTTCAACGCATAAAATACCGGAGCGGCGTCATCAGAAGAAGGCGCAAGAACAACAGCTGATCTGTCAAAGTAAGCTGAGGGGGCCAGATCTCTTGTAAGAGTATGCATAATGCCTCTCCAACCAGCATTGTCAAAAATGAGCGACGAGGTGGTTGTTGCTGATCCGGTTTGCGCATGTGACCCCGCCGAGCATTGTCCGCTATGAGGACTGGACGGCATGGATGGCGGTGTTGACGTGGTGGAGGAGCCAGATTTGGCAACGATGGTGTCAGCGATTCCAATTGCCCGAGCCGCTTCGGTGAGCGTCGGTCCCTGGCCGTTATTCAGCCTAGCAAAGAATTTATTATGCTTGGACAATGTCTGGACAGAGATGCCAGGATCAAGATATGCGCCTCCGAAGTCTCTTTGGTTACACCAGGCTTCCATGCCGGCAAAGTTGTTTGGGTGTCGTTCGATAATGCTAAACCGATGAGGTAGACCCAATTCGTTGAAGCACTTCTCATAAAACGGTGCCTGTGGAACAGCGCTTCGGTTCAAGGAGGAGCTGACCCCGTATATATTCTTCATCGGCAATTGTCCCAGTTGACATAATGCTTGGTGAATTTCGGCGGTGCTCATTTGACCCGGGGCTGCAATTATGGGAAGAAGAGGATGTGTGATGGGCGTGAAGACCTTGTTTTGGGTTCTGGAGAACTGGCCAGTCTCTCCCATATTAACAGCAGAGAGAGGTGGCGC